GACCCAGACAAATGTTGCGTGTTCTGCCTAATCCGTGGAATCCAGAAGAGATGATAAGAAACTAGAAGGGAGACTATGAGTAGCCAAGAGGAAAGTAACGGGGGAGATGGAGGGAGTCAAAGAGCCAGGAATGGGGAGATGAGTGCAATAAAAATCTATTACATATTCTATCAGTCGAGCCCCCCCTCCCAAGAGAAACTACAGGGGAGTCAGGCGAGGGGGTCATGAGGGAAACCATCAAAGTGTGTTCTGTGCACATGCAGATCAAGTCCATTCATGTTCATCCAAGAAAAAGGTTTCAAAAAAATAAAAGATTAAAAACATAAGTAAAACTGTCTTTAGTCACAGAGGACATGAACTTGTACATAGAAAATCTGAAGGAATTGAGTGAAAAAAATACTGGAATAAACAATGTCAGCAAAGTCACAGAGGAATATACAAAAACAATTGTTTCTGTACACAAATAACAATGTGAAAATGAAACAAAGAGAATTCCATTGCCAATATTATCAAAAAGAAGAAAATACTTAGGAATTTAACCAAAAAAGGGCAGCACTTTTATATGGAAAGCTGCAAAACTTTGTTGAAAGAAATTAAGGATTTAAATGAATGGTAAGACATCTCACGTTCACAGATTGGTAGATAATACAATGACAACACTTCCAAAACTGATCAGCTGATTCAGTATAGTCTTATCACACACACAGAAAAAAATCCTATCACAATCCAAATTAAGCCCAGTGTGGTGCCGCATGCCTGTGGTCCAGCACTCAGGAGGCTGAGGCAGGAGGATTGCACCAAGTTCAAGGCCAGTCTGGGATATATAGTGAGTTCCAGGCCAGGCTAAAGTACATAGTGAGAACCTGTCACAAAAAAGAGCAACAATATGGTTAATAATAGACAACTAAATGTGATTTAAGTGTCTCAGCTACTCTTATTCTTTCTTTTCTAGGATAGAGCCCAAAAGAATATAGTATGCCCAAAACACTACAATTTAAAAATAATTTTTATTAGTGTATGTTTGTGATATGTAATAATTACATTCATTTTTGGGAACTGGTACATATACATATTGTATCTTGATCATTTCTACTCCCCTTTCTGCCCCACCCTGCACCCTTCCCCCACAATTTAAAAATACTACAAGCAATGTGTGATTGGCCATTGTTTTCAATTTTGGGCTTTTTCTTGCTAGGAATGGAACCCAGGGCCTCGGGCATGCATGGCAGGTAAGTGTTCCACCACCGAGCCACATCCTGACCCTGGCTCATCCTTTTGTTGGCAAGATGGTACAACAGACCAATCACCTTTATTGCAGAAAAACTTTAGGAATTAGAAATGTAATTTTAGAAGGTTTTTGACAATCATTTTGTGTCTTTTCGGCAAAAGCATAACTGAACAAAGAAGTGAACAGCCTGCATTGAGGTGGAGACCGACAGAGAAAAGCAGTTGGGGTTCACAAATCAGAGCTCAGTGCCCATTTTCCCATCCTTAAATTGTTGCTTAAGCTTTTCATTTACATTTTGTAGAGAATCATTAGGTCGGTTTTTCATTAACTTAGGCTTTTAGACGCCTCTGCATACTGAAACGCCGTCCCTTATGTTTATGGTTTCTGGTCCCTCTTCCCCAGTGTGCCTCAGTTTTCTTCTCCAGCACTGGGGATCAAACCCAGGGCCCGTATATTCTGGCAAACATTCTACCAGTGACTTACATCTCTCCCCTATAAATACAGAATTTTATTCAAACTAAAACTTCCCTATTATGGTAACATTAATTCTGATTTATCTTGGGTTTATTTGTTTTAGGTAAGTTCTTACTATGTAGTCCAGGCTGTCCTTGGACCTTCTATAAAGTTGCTGGCCTACAATTTGTTTTTTGTTAGTTTTTTTTCCCAGTACCGGGAATCGAACTCACGACCTTGCACTTGCCAGGCAGGTGTTGTGTGGCCGAGCTAAATCCCCAGCCGTGGCCTCCAATTTGTGATTCTTCTGCCTCAGCCTCCTGAGTGCTAGGTTTCTCTTTTTTTTTTTTTTTTTTGGTTTTTCTCCAGTACCGGGAACCAAACTCACAACCTTGCGCTTGCCAGGCAGGCGCTTTTGCCACTGAGCTAAATCCCCAGCCCCAAGTGCTAGGATTACAGGCATGCGCTACCATGGCAGGCCTTAATTTTTCCTTTGTGATCTAATTTTGTTATCTAACTATATAAAAGATATGCTTTCAAACTATAACAAGGAACATTTACATCTTAATTTCATCCCTATTACCTCTACCCAGGTCATTTCTTTCCTCTGTAAACATATTCACTAGTTTTTTGGTTTATCTTTTCATTGTCTTTTGAAAACTGAAGGGAACATACACACGTACTCCTGTTTCCTGTACCCCTTACATAGTGTGGCATACCAGGCACTCTGTCCACGCCTCGCTTTTCTGTATAACATATCACAGAGATGACTGCACAGGAGCACAGGTGTCTTCCTCAATCCTTTTTATAGCTGCATGATTGATTCTGCAGCTCTATCATAGTTTACCCTAACAGGCTCTTCTGCTGGGGTCTCAGTGCATGGTTTCAGCTTCAAAAATTCTTCAGGACACGAGCTCCTCGAGGCCATGCTCCGCCTTCCCTGCTACCTGAGCAGCATCAAGACCTGAGCACTAGAGTAGCAGTCGTTACATCAGTGTTACAGGCAGCAACTTTAGAGGTAGAGATGAGTAAGAAAAGGGGCAAGGCAGGCAGGCACACTGGTGCTCGCCTGTAATCCACGCTACTCAGGAGGCTGAGGCCAAGTTCCGGGTTACCCTGAGCAACTTAAAAAAAAAAACCTATCTCAAATTTTTTAAAAAGCAGGGCTGGTAAGCTGGAGATATAAATAGTTGAGTCCACCTTCAATTTCCAAAAGGGAGAGGGGTCACAAAGTGTGCACACACCAGCTGCTGTTTTTTGACAAAGTCTTGCTATGTAGTCCAGGCTAGCATTGAACTTGCAGTCTTCCTGACTCAGCCTCCTGAGTGCTGGGACTATGACTGTACACCACCGCACCCAGTTGTTAGCTGTTTTTAAGATTCTTAGATCCTCCACATGGCAGTTCCCATGGGTTAGAATTTATTCACAGGACTAACCCTACCTAAACAGAAGTCTGGAAAAATGTCATCTTTATTCTGCATAGCCAGGTACCTCAGCCAAAGACTGGGTGACATGACCACAGAAGACTGCTGCACAACCGAATCGGTTTCATCTCACACTGTCCCCGCCACCTTTTGTCACTCCCTACAGCCCACTGTTGTGGTCCTCGTCAGCCAAGCTTAGGGCCAGGAATACAGCTCAGCGGCACAGTGCCTGCCTGGCAAGTGCAAGGTCCTGAGTTCCATTGCCGGTATGAAAAAAAAAGAAAAATTAGCCAAGCTCTTCCCTTTTCTAAGGCGTTTCCTCAGCTCATTTCATGAGCCTTGAATGCCCTTCTGCAGAATTTCCCAGTGCTGGCTCCTACTCTCCACGTAGGAAAAGCCCAAATGTCCTCCCTCACAGGGCCCTGCTCTGTACTCTATGTAAAGCAGGCCCCCACCCGTCACAGTGCTTCACACCGCACTGCCTTGTCTCCTTCCCAGCATTTGTCTGCATCTTAAATTGTCTATCCTCTGCCCTGCTGGGGAAATAGCTCAGGGGCATAAATGCCTGCGTGGCAAGCGCAAGGTCATGAGTTCAATCCCTGGTACCACAAAAAATTAAAAACTAAAAATAAAAAGAATCCTCTGCCCTCCTGCACTAGAATGTAAGTTCCACAGGACAGGGCCCTCTGTCTTCTTCACGACTCCATCCCTGCTCATCACGTCTGGCTCCGTGACCTCTTGTTTCTTACTAGCTGTTGTTTCTAGTAGGGCTGAAATACCATTCCGGAAGTTAATCTTTGTTTTTAGAATGACAGTCTATTAAAGTCAGTTTCTTACAAACAAGATCTTAAAAAACACTATTTCTAAAATAAAATCTATGCTTAGGGAGTAAAAAGAGATTTAGATGTAAGATCATGGGTAAGTCTCTTAGGTTGCTTGATCAGTTTTCATCTGTAAAATGAAAATGTTGATTAAAATTCACTTCATCTATAGGTACTTACCAAACACTGTGTTAAACTAGAAGCAAAAAACTTAAGCAAGGTAACTTCTCTCAAAAGGAGCTTACAGATGCCTTCCAATGCTACAATACGCACAATCCTATATAACTGTTGGTTGGTATCCTGAGCTAGAGAAAAAGCCTAATATTTCCCAATACTGAGACACTTATTAAAAGACATCATGAAGACAGACAGACACACACTACTTCATTTAAAAGCATTTAATTCAACATTGCGGTAAGAATCGAACAGTGATAACAGAAGCACATTAATGGCTAAGAAGATGTCTAATTTTTTTTCCCGGTACGAGGGAATGAACCCAGGGCATTCTCAATGAACTACATCCTCAACTCTTTTAAAAATCTTTTCTCGTTGTTGCTTTTTTTTGAGATAGGTTCTCACTATGTAATTCAGGATGGCCTTGAACTCACTATGTAGCCCAGGCTGGCCTCAAACTTGGGACGATCTCCCTGCCTCAGCCTCCTGAGTAGTGAAATTATAGGCATGTGCTACTAGGCTGGGCTTATCTTTTGGAGACAGGGTCTCACTAAGTTACTCTGCTGGGCTCAAACTTGTGCTCTTCCTGCTTCAGCCTCCAGACTGCTGGCCCAGCAATCGTGCATCATCACACACAACTCTATTCATCTTTATCTTCCTTTTTAGGGGACTTTGATGGCCAGTTCTCTACAGTAAAACAATGCTACAGAAATGTCTTTAGAAGACAAAAAATCAAGTCAATGAAGTCTAAAGTACTTAAAAGTGATTAAAAATTTTAAAGATCTCAATCATAAATATCCAATATTAAATACATCTCATTTGAATCCTAAAAATTTATTTTTTTATTTTTATTTTTTGTTTCTTTTGAGACAGGGTCTCACTACGTTGTGCAGGCTGGCCTTGAATTCACACTGATCCTCCTGCCTCAGCCTCCCACGTTCTGGGATTACAGGTATGCACCACCACACCTGGCTAAATCCTAAAAATTTAACATAGTGAATACTTATTCTTTAAGAAGAAGACCAATAAATTAACAGCACTTTCTTCAGAGTGGCACCACAGATCATGACAACTAGTCCTTGTGGCTATGGCTTGCCCGCTACCACATTCGTTGTTCTTCTAGATCCTTCCTGGCTTCCACCCAAGCAACTTCAAAGCCACCATGAAGAGAAAGATGCAGAGACAGACACTCATTTCCCTTGCGGTCCCTCTCAACATAGGAACTAAGCAAATAACCAGTGAAAACAGGGTATATAATCCATGACAGAGCTTCATTATATAGTCCACACAGAGCTCATTCAATTTGAAAAATTGCCAGTTCTGTCAAATATGCCAACACACCAATAAGGTATTTATGACACAGAATCTGTAGGAGGAAAAAAACAAAACAGAAGAAATTTTAAATTAGAATAGCATAACAAAGCAGTTTGATATTTAGATGACTGATGTTACACTGGTGTAATTTCTGGACAGTACGTTGAGCTTACCAGATGCAATGCATTCTCATTTTTATATTTCCTGTTCTATTTCTTTTCATTGTTTCTTTTTAATGTGGATCTCTTCTAATCAAAAGTATATCCCCCCTACTACTGCATTATAACCTCCAGTGTGTACAGAGTGCACTTACATAATAAAAACGTGAGTGTGAAATCTCGACTCTTACTGCTCTGCACTATAACTTACATTTGGCCTCTGTCTCCTTGTTTCTACAAAGATTAGCACATTCCTGCTAGCTTGAACCACTGTCCTACTGCGCAGCTTGTACCACCCGATGGGACTGTCCTATGCCACGCAATGGGATAGTCATGCACGTAGCACTGGTGGTGCAGAGCCACCCAATAGCAAAATATACAAACTATGGCCCTGTCATGAACATATCAAGGTACTTTAGGCACAGAAAAACAACCTATGGCACAGTCTCACTCATTTGTAGAAGCTAAGGAAGTTTCTCTCATCCAGGAAGACAATGGAACAGTGGCCACTAGAGGCTGGGATAGGCCACGTGAAGAGGAGACAGAGATGTCAGATAACGGGTACCAGGACAGTCAGGTATCAGGAATGAGTTCTAGTGTCCTGCACTAGAGGAGGGCAACTACAGTCTGTGATTTATTATATATTTCAAAATAACTAGAAGAGTCTAAGGCTCCAACAAACAGCAAGGATGTTTGAAGAGATGGAAATGTTAATTGTCATGATCATTAGACACTGTACACATGTATCAAATTATTATACTGTGCCCCTTAAATATGTATATTATGTGTTAATTATTTTAAATCAAAAAAGAATTAAGTTTATTAAACTCCTAATGTAGTGACAAGATCATAGGAAACACTCACTAAATACATATTGTGGCTAGGTATTTAAACATATTTTAGAAACCAACTCTATTTCTACTATTACCTGTGGTAAGTGCTTCAAAGAAAGTAAAACAGTATCTCCTACATTTTTCTCCCAGTGAAGATAAAAAAGCCTAAACTACAAAGATGACACTTTATTCTGTGTTTCTGAGTGTATACTATCTAACCTAAAATTCTCTTGATACTTTCAATTTTTTTTTTTTTTTTTTTTTAGACTGAGTCTTGCTATTACAGTTCAGGCTGGCTTTGAACTCACTATGTAGCCCAAGTTGGTCTTGAACTCATAGAGATCCTCCTGCTTCAGCATCCTGAGAGTTGGGATTATGGGCAAGCACCAACATAGCTCAAAATTTAGTAAGAAACAATTCCGAGAGTTTCAAACTTACTACAGAATAATAATTCATATTGTTACCCAAATCGTGAGGGCACAAGATATGTATTCTTCCATTACAAAGCTGCATCTAGAAGGCTGAAGACTTAAAAGCATACAGTTAAGGCTTCTCCATTGTTTTGAACTGGCATACATTCAAATGTGTGTCCACAGTGTGAAGAATGTAACCGCTACACATTTTGAAAACCTGGCATCAATAAGGAAAAGTTATTTAACTAGTTCTTGTTCAAACTAACCTTTATTTTTCCATCGGTATGTGCAGAAGCTACAGATGTGGAAACACGAACCAGTCTTGTGGCTGACAAGTGAATTTTGAAATGCCTATGGAAATGTGAATAAAGGCAGTCCATAAATAAGTCCACTTCCTCCTGGGTAACCTCCCCAGACGTCTTGTGGACACTGTCCCACAAAGCTTTTGCATCCTCTGGATGTATGGCATAAGAAATATCCAGACTCTGAGGGCTACAGGGTACAGACCAAAAAAACTCAGTAGTAGCCACGTAATGGTCCATTTTACATGCAGTCCACATAGCAGCCATCCAGGAAAGATTGAATGCATTGATTGCTAACGGACTGAAATAACAGTCAAAGGTTTTCTGAAACCAAGTTCCAATTATGGCTGTATTGGACTCTGCTCCATTTGCAAGGAATAACGGTAGGCAGGTGAAATCTTCTGAAACAGTCTCCAGAAGACTGTCTCCAAATATACAGCAGAACCAACCGGTCCATAACACTTTACCTTCTCTGTTCTGAGGTGGCAACTGAGATTTTGACAGAATCTATGAAGAAAAGTAAAACAGATTCATTGGGTTCAAAAGAACACATACTCCTAAATTACATCTTCTCAAAACTAATTACTATAATAAGGCTGACATTTAATTTGTCAAAAAAAAAAAAAAAGAGATTGTCTCCCTAATTATCAGGGTTTATCAAAATGGTTGACCTTTCTCCCAGCACATGTACACAGTGGGAATGTGGTAGATGGCAAGCACTTTGTGCAACTAAAATGCAAAACAAGAGGTGTCTATATGGCACAATCCGGTACCATATCTTGATTTAAAAAAAAAAGAAGTAAAGGATGCCCAAATCCAACATGCTTGAATGCTTCCACTGATGAAGACAACATTTCCCACAAGAACTCTTCCTATCAACTTAAAATGTTCTTTCATGTTAGGCCCTATGGTCTTCATTAGTGGTCCTGCTTTTTCCCTTGTGGGCCTGTAAAACAAATCAAATATAACCTTTCTTTTATAGGAAAAACCCTGACAGCCCCTATGACAGAGACTGCAAAGTTCAACATCTCCAATGTCCTCAACCGTTCTCCCTGGGACATCCATGCACATTTTCTCGCTATCCCAGTCACTCTTCTCGGAGCTCCTTATGCAGAGTCATTCCTAAGTGAACATAATTACCTCAACACAGCCCGATTACAAGATTATCACTGTCTCTGACCAGGACCGCACTCCTATTCAGGCAATCTCAGAATTCAATTTTCTGATTTTTAGTTGACAGCTTTATAAATTAGCCCAACATACTTATTTTTGCTGTTAATAAGTAAATCTCCCTCAACTTAAATTGAAGCAGTAAACTTACTACTACTAAAGTTTAAGCTCTTTCAATTTGGCCCCTTGTACCAATCATTCAGATCATTTAGGAATCTTGGTATTTCTAGCCACTAACCCTCCAACTTTACCTGTATAAACTACATGACAAACACACCTTCAAGTTATCCATACAAGTTTTTGACTAAGCCAAGGTTAAGATCGTAGCCCTGTCTCATACCGCCCCCACCCCTTTTTTAAGACAGGGTCTCACTACGCGGTTCAAGCTGGCCTTGAGCTGACTTTGTAGCCCAGGCTGGTCTCGAACTCACAATGATCCTCCTGCCTCAGCCTCTCAAGTGCTGGGATTACAGGCATGCGCCACCACACCCGGCTTCATACCCCTTTAGAGATGATCATTTAAAGTTTCTTTCACTGTATGTCTCCTTATTTAGGAGATTATGAGAAACTCTTAAATACCCTGAAGCCCAGAAAACACTATGTTACATAGTTTTAAGTGTCTATAATCCTCAGGGCGGGGAGATAGCTCAGCGGCATAGCACCTGCCTGGTAAGCGCAAGGTCCTAAGTTTGATTCCCGGTACCAAAAAAAAAAGTGTCTATAATCCTATCAAGAAATGAGATTTAATTTGAAAACTATTAGAATATTGTACCAATAATTGAAAGGGTCATTTCTTTTTGTTTTTTCAGTACTGGAGTAAACCTGTGGCCTTGTGTATGCCAGGTAAATGCTCTACCACTGAGCTACATCTCCACCCCTTTTTATTGTTTATTTCAAGACTGTCTCATTAAATTGCCCAGCCTGCCCTTGAACTTACAATTCTCCTCCTCAGCCTTCCGAGTAGCTGGGATTACAGGCATGTACGACCACACCCAGCTTGAAGGGATCATTTCTAATCCTTCTACTTGCTTGGCTGATGACATGCAAGTCATAAAACTTCTCTGACATTAGCTGCTTCACTTGACAAAGACTACAGTCTACGTACTATTTTTCCTTTTGCAATAAAACAGTCCCTTTATTTAACACTGGCAAAGTAACCATTAAAAAAGAAACTTTTCAGCCAGATATGGTGGCACAAACTTGTAATCCCAGCACTCAGGAGGCTGAGGCAGGAAGATCACCATGAGTTCCAGGCCAGCCTGGGCTACACAGTGAGTTCAAGGCTGCACTACATAGTGAGAGATTGTCTCAAAAATACCTACTTACCTACATACATGCATAGCATTTTTTAGTCTCCCTTCAAACTGGAATGTAAACAGAAGTTGCCGAGTCCCAGCCATATCTATTCTGTGTCAGGTGCCCAGTGTCTTCTGTTCTTTCTACTTCCTGCCTGAAATTTGCATAAAGTATTTATACCTGCACAAGCCGCTTCCCCCATAAGATGACTTTCAGGATGGAAGCTATGCACTAAGGGTTTCAGAGGAAAAAACAGAAGGGGCCTGGATTATTAATCTCATTAGATTATACCAGCCTTGGATAGTTCAAGATAAATCTCTATCATTCAGGCTTTCTGCTGTATACAGTGGAACTTAATCCTAGAGCACCTGGAAATCTTTGCCAATAGTAGAGCATATCCCAAGTCAGCAAACTTTTCTGTAAAGAGCCAGGGAGTATTTTGAGCTCTGTAGGCCATATGGTCTCTGCTGCTATTTAATTCTGCTCTTGTAGCCCAAAAGCAGCCATAGATAAAACAGAAGCAAACAAAAGAAGCTATGTTCCAACAAAATCTTATTTACTAAAACTAGGAGGGGATCAGATTTGGCTAGAGACCATAGTTTGCTGAGCCTTTTTTTTTTTTTTTTTTTTTTTTTTGAGACAAGGTCTCGCTATGCAGTTCAGGCTGGCCTTGTACTCATTTTGTAGCCCAGGCTGGTCTCGAACTCTCAGTGATCCTCCTGCCTCAGCCTCCTGAGTGCTGTAATTACAGGCATGTACCACTTGTAATGTCCCACCTGACTGAGGCAGTCCCACCTAACTGACCCCTGATTTATACACAGAAATACACATCTAGTATAAAAGTCTGCTTCTAGAAATTAAACTCAAGAACATAAAATACCAGACATATCTACAAGGAATTATCTACAATACTGATTAATAAAAATTTAGGAGGCACAGTAGCACATGCTTATAATCCCTGCTACGTGGGAAGCTGAGAAGGAAACTGCAGTTCAAGACCAGCCTAGGGAACATAGCAAAACTGTTTGAAGATAAAAAAATAAGAAGTTAGGGCTGGGGATATAGCTCAGTGGCATAAGTGCCTACCCGGCAAGCACAAGGTCCTGAGTTCAATTGCCGGTACCAAAAAAATAAAATAAAATAAAAAAATAAAAAACACTTGGGATCCTGGATTCAAGTCCCAATACCACACACAAGAAAAGAAAGAAAAGAGAAGAAACAGATTAGTTAACTCAGAAGAAACTCATTATTATTTCTTTTATTATAAAGAAATAAATCTCTAAGCTGGGCATGGTGGCACACGCCTGTAATCCCACCACTCAAGAGGCTGAGGCAGGAGGATCATTGTGAGTTCGAGCCCAGCCTGGGCTACAAAGAGAGCTCAAGGGCAGCCTGAACTGCACAGCGAGACCCTGTCTCAAAAAGACAAAAAAAAAAAAAATCTGGCCTGGCACGGTGGTGCACGCCTGTAATCCCAGCACTCAGGAGGCTGAAAAAAATTAAAAAAGGAGGCTGAGGCAGGAGAATCACTGTGAGTTTGAGGCCAGCCTGGACTACGTAGTAAATGTTTTGTCTCCAAAAACCAAAATCAATCAATCAATCAATCTGGTTTCTTAAAAGATACTCACTCCTTTTATACACTACTTATAGAAAGGAAAACAAAGTATTACACTTCTGAGAGTAACATGGTATGATGTATCCTCATACGAAATAATATGCTACATTTTTTTTTCACTAAAAGTCTGCTTCTAGAAATTAACTTCATGAACATAAAATAACAGACATATCTACAAGGAATTATCTACAATATTGATTAATAAAAATGTCAGAATGAAAGGTCGGGGCAATACGATCCCCCTTTCAAGACTACACAGATTCTGATAACCAAACAGATGAATACCTAAATTGTAACTGTGATTTTTCTTGAAATTGTGATTTTTAACTTTCTTTGCCTTTTATATATTTTCTAAGTTTCCTAAAATCAACATGATTTTGCACACACACACACACAGACACACAATTTCCTACACATGTAGAAATAAATTTTTTAAATTGGTCATATCTAATGATTATACCTTGGTCAAACAAGACATGAAATAGGCTCAAAATCAGTAACTTAGGAATTTAAAAACTCGTAAGAAAATCCCACAACAATTTCAAAGCAAGAAAATGCAGATGCTTTTCCCAGGAAGCAGGTACCGCTTGTGTACACTACCTGGACGAGCAGTGCTTCAGGGTCCCTTTCTGTCCCTTTCATTCCGAGGAGAGCAGAGAAAATCACTTTGATGCTGAAGTCATCTCCCACTTCCACAGCAAGTCCTTTTTGCTTTTCAGCGGCAATAAATGCACTCAGAAGTCTGGAATACTCTTTGAGATTAGTATAGGAGAACTTATACAGGGGTGTTAAGCTATACAAAGTCCACTGTTTATGCAGAAGGAATGCGACCTTCTGAGGATCAACATCTTCCTAAACAAAAAAAAAAACAAAATCAAGTTTAAAAGCAATTTAAGAAGTAAGAAACAGAACAAAGAATAAAATAATGAATGAAGGGGCCAAGGTTAGAACTCAGAGGCATGGCACCTGCCTGGCAAACATGAGGTCCTAAGTTCCATACCCAGTTCCCCCCCGACCAAAAAAACATTAAAAAAATAATAATGAATGAAGAAAACAAGAACAAAAAGCAAAAAAAGAAAAAGAAAAAGAAAAAAAATTTAAAAGACGAAAAGAGGAAACTTTAGTAAGAACTAAGACAGCATTTGAAACATTTAATACAAATCTATTACCGGGCACCTGATCTTTACACTGCAAAGATCGTCGCACAATGGAGTTTGCAGGACTTTTTGCAGATCCCTGAACAAGGCCCTACGTGTGCTGAGCCGGCCCTCCCGGAAGGTATTTCCCGGGCACTCACTGGAGTATCCCTTTACTTCGCTCAGCTCTGCTAAATGTCCCCCAAGAGGCCACCCTAGCTGAAGTGAAGGAGCGGCAGCACCATTTCAGCCTCATTGTTCTATCTCTTGACACCGCTTTATTTTTCTTCACAGGATTTATTGCCACCTGACATTATATATCCACCTGATTTTTACTGTCTTCTTTACTAGAGCATGACCTTAATGAGCTGGGATTTCATCTATTCTGTTCACTTTAGTACCTAGGACAATGCCGTTTATAAGTTCTCAGTAAATAATTGATAAACATTTATGTTCTACATTAAGAAATTTTATAGATTTTGAATGGGGGCCAGAGATGTAGCTCTGTGACACAGTACCTGCCTGGCAAGTGCAAGGTCCTGAGTTCGATTCCCCATACCCCTCCCCAATTTTTTTAATAGATTTTTAAAAAGTAACTCTTCCTAAAGTTTGATTAGCTTTAAGTAATTTTTTTAAAAGTTTGGCAGCACTGGGCATGATAGCACATGCCTGTAACACCAGCTACTTGGGAGACTAAAACAGGACACAAGTTCAAACCCAGACTGGCCAACTCAGAAAGACCTTACCTCAAAATAAAAATTAAGAACAGCTGGAGATACTGCCATGTACCGTCATAAAAAAAAAAGGCAACAAATCCATAATGCCTAACTCAATAGGTTAAATAAAAAGATAATTGGGAGTATTTTTTGCTGTGCTCAGTGAGTGCCATCAGAAACAAAAGCACTTGCATTTGTATTGTATCCCCTGCACTGCTGCATAAGTGTACCCAGTAAGCTTTTAGTTTCCTGGGGGATTTTCTACTCTCCATGCTTTCTGACAGTCTCATAGCTTCCACTGTCTTTTGGACTTTTACTACAGCTGTTTACTGGAGAAAAGTATTCTAGCTGGGGCCTTCACTAAAAGTTACACGTGTTTTTCTTATAATTATAAAAATATATGGCAAAATTATTATAAGGATGAGGAAACACTGAACTGGACATTCCAATCTTTATATAAAATTTGTTTTCTAGGCCGGGCATGGTAGAGCACACCTATAATGCCAGTAGTTTGAGGCTGAGGATTGCCACAAGTTCAAGGCCAGTCTGGGCTATACAGTGAGTTCAAGGCCAGCCTGAATGAACTACATAGTGAGACCTTGTCTCAAAAAACCCCAAAAAACCCCTTTTTTTTTATAATTTTCATTATCAGCACTAGTAATTTAAGAAACTGTCACAAAGAAGCAATCTGTCTCCTCTTCCAAGCAGTATCAAGCACACAATGACAAGAAAACAGCTACAATGAAGGTAAAAGAGGACACAACACCTATGCAGTCTTCTAACCAAGAATACATAATTCATACTGAACCATGAGGAAATAGCAGAGAAATACAAAATAGAATATCCAGGCATCTTCCCCAGAGAGTTTAAAACAGCATCCTACAGCAACACAAGCACAGCAATTGTTATGGTTTGCGTCTAGATGTCCCCTCAAAGCCTCATGCAGTTTATGATTGACTCATGGTCCAATGCTGGGATTATGTGTGTGAGTGCTACACCTGACCTGGGGCATACAATATAAGGGAGGGAAAGAGTCTTGCTCTCTTCTGCTGCTCCTCCCTTTTGCCCTTGCTGCTTTTGCTGTCTTCGGCCATGAACTGTTGCCCTCTGCCATGTGCCACTCTGCCTTGGAGCCAGCCAAGTATGAACTGAAACCTCCACAAACTATGAGCAAAATAAACCTTTCCTTCCTTAATTTTGGGGGTCAGGTATTCTGTCTCAGCAATGAGAGAAAAATAACCAAGACCCCAATGTTTATAGCAGCACAATTCATAATCGCTAATTCCTAGAAGCAGCCTGTATACCCATCAACAGATGCAGATAGAGAAAACCTCTATCACTGAGACAGATACTACTTGACTGTGAAGAAGGACACATATGAGACAGTTGGGAAATGGAGGTACCTGGAAAATAGAATGTTGAGAGAAATAAATAAGACACACAGGCTTAAATACCATCTCTCCTGTGAGTAAGACAAAAGACAAACAAAGAGATTAACAGAGGACGGATAGAAGGAGACAGGGGATGGATCTCTTGGAAATGGGAAGGGGTCCAAGAAACCAAGGGAGGTGGGTGTGGGGAGCAGAGGGGAAAACTAGTAGAATAAAGATAAGCCATGTAGCAGAACCTAACAGCCTCAATGAATGGGAACATTACACGCCATAAACACGAGCCAAGGTTAATAATGTAAGAATGAAAATGGGGAGATGGGAGTTAGAGGAGAAGGCGAGGGATGGGGCCGAGGAGTAAAAAGGAAAAGCAGCAGGTTGTGTCATGTGCATGTCCCCACTCCCCAGATGACTGTGAAAAGCATCCACTGCAAACTGTGCTAGTAAAAAAAAGATTAATTAAGAAAATAAATAAGGGAAAGGAGGAAAATATCGTCTTCAAAATTATCAATGTTATAAAAGACAAAGAAATAGTGTGGAAATGATCCAGATTAAAGAAAATTAAAAGATATTAAACATGCAGTACTGATGGTGTGAAATTATTTAACTTTTTCTCAATCTGTTAGCTGAGGAGTTAAAATACCCATAAATAGTAATGGAAACGGAAGTGCTTTGTTTAGACGGTTTCATTTTTTGCTAACCTGAAGAAACAAAGCATAAGCATACCTGCAACCAGGGGCTGGGGATTTAGCTCAGCGGCAAAGCGCCTGCCTGGCAAGCGCAAGGTCATGAGTTCAGTTCCCGGTACCGGAGAAAAACCAAAAAAA